TGGTGGATAAAAGGTTGATGGGTAGGCTCCAGGATGTACATGTTTATAGAGGGGCAACTGATATATCGGATCATTATTTAGTTGTAGCTACAGTTAGAGTAAGAGGTAGATGGGAAAAGAGGAAGGTGGCAACAACAAGTAAGAGGGAGGTGAAAGTGTATAAACTAAGGGAGGAGGAAGTTCGGCGAGATATAAAGCGACTATTGGCAGAAAGGTGGGCTAGTGCAAAGATGAGTAGTGGGGGGTTGAAGAGGGTTGGAATAGTTTTAAAAATGCAGTATTGGAATGTGGGGCAGAAGTTTGTGGTTATAGGAGGGTGGGGGCAGGAGGAAAGAGAGTGATTGGTGGAATGATTAAGTAAAGGGTGTGATAAAAGAGAAAAAGGTAGCTTATGAGAGGTTTTTACAAAGCAGAAGTGTTATAAGAAGAGCAGAGTATATGGAGAGTAAAAGAAAGGTGGAGGGTGGTGAGAGAGTGCAAAAGGAGAGCAGATGAAAGAGTGGGAGAGGCACTGTCAAGAAATTTAATGAAAATAAGAAAAAATTTTGGAGTGAGTTAAACAAGTTAAGAAAGCCTAGGGAAAGTATGGATTTGTCAGTTAAAAACAGAGTAGGGGAGTTAGTAGATGGGAGAGGGGAGGTATTAGGTAGATGGCGAGAATATTTTGAGGAACTTTTAAATGTTAAGGAAGAAAGGGAGGCGGTAATTTCATGCACTGGCCAGGGAGGTATACCATCTTTTAGGAGTGAAGAAGAGCAGAATGTAAGTGTGGTGGAGGTACATGAGGCATTACGTAGAATGAAAGGGGGTAAGCAGCTGGAACTGATGGGATCAGGACAGAAATGTTAAAAGCAGGGGGGGATATAGTGTTGGAGTGGTTGGTACTTTTGTTTAATAAATGTATGAAAGAGGGAAGGTACCTAGGGATTGGCGGAGAGCATGTATAGTCCCTTTATATAAAGGGAAAGGGACAAAAGAGATTGTAAAAATTATAGAGGAATAAGTTTACTGAGTATACCAGGAAAAGTATACGGTAGGGTTATAATTGAAAGAATTAGAGGTAAGACAGAATGTAGAATTGCGGACGAGCAAGGAGGCTTCAGAGTGGTAGGGGATGTGTAGATCAAGTGTTTACATTGAAGCATATATGTGAACAGTATTTAGATAAAGGTAGGGAATTTTTATTGCATTTATGGATTTAGAAAAGGCATATGATAGAGTGGATAGAGGAGCAATGTGGCAGATGTTGCAAGTATATGGAATAGGTGGTAAGTTACTAAATGCTGTAAAGAGCTTTTATGAGGATAGTGAGGCTCAGGTTAGAGTGTGTAGAGAGAGGGAGAATACTTCCCGGTAAAAGTAGGTCTTAGACAGGGATTGTGTAATGTCACCATGGTTGTTTAATATATTTATAGATGGGGTTGTAAAAGAAGTAAATGCTAGGGTGTTCGGGAGAGGGGTGGGATTAAATTATGGGGAATCAAATTCAAAATGGGAATTGACACAGTTACTTTTTGCTGATGATACTGTGCTTATGGGAGATTCTAAAGAAAAATTGCAAAGGTTAGTGGATGAGTTTGAGAATGTGTGTAAAGGTAGAAAGTTGAAAGTGAACATAGAAAAGAGAAAGGTGATGAGGGTATCAAATGATTTAGATAAAGAAAAATTGGATATCAAATTGGGGAGGAGGAGTATGGAAGAAGTGAATGTTTTCAGATACTTAAGAGTTGACGTGTCGGCGGATGGATTTTAAAGGATGAGGTTAATCATGGGAATTGATGAGGGAAAAAGGCGGTGGTGCGTTGAGGTATATGTGGAGTCAAAAACGTTATCTAATGGAGGCAAAGAAGGAAATGTATGAAAGTATAGTAGTTTTCAACACTCTTATATGGATGTGAACTTGGGTGGTAAATGCAGCAGCGAGGAGACGGTTGGAGGCAGTGGAGATGTCCTGTCTAAGGGCAATGTGTGGTGTAAATATTATGCAGAAAATTCGGAGTGTGGAAATTAGGGAAGGTGGGGAGTTAATAAAAGTATTAGTCAGAGGGCAGAAGAGGGGTTGTTGAGTGGTTTTGGTCATTTAGAGAGAATGGATCAAAGTAGAATGACATGGAAAGCATAAAATCTATAGGGGAAAAGGAAAGGCGGGGCAGGGGTCGTCCCGAAAGGGTTGGAGAGAGGGGGTAAAGGGGGTTTTTTGTGGGCAAGGGGCTTGGACTCCAGCAAGCGTGCGTGAGCGTGTTAGATAGGAGTGAATGGAGACGAATGGTACTTGGACCTGACGATCTGTTGGAGTGTGAGCAGGGTAATAATTTAGTGAAGGGATTCAGTGAAACCGGTTATTTTCATATGGGTCGGATTTGAGTCCTGGAAATGGAAGTACAATCCCTGCACTTTAAAGGAGGGGTTTGGGAATTGGCAGTTTGGAGGGATAGTTGTGTATCTTTATATGTGTATGCTTCAGACTGTTGTATTCTGAGCACCTCTGCAAAAACAGTGATAATGTGCGAGTGTGGTGAAAGTGTTGAATGATGAAAGTATTTTCTTTTTGGGGATTTTTTTTTCTTTTTTGGGTCACCCTGCCTCGGGGGGAGATGGCCGATTTTGTTAAAAAAAAAAAATATATTTTATTTTTTTTTTTCAACAATTTGGCTGTCTCCCACCGAGGCAGGGTGACCCAAAAAAGAAAGAAAACCCCCAAAAAAGAAAATACTTTCATCATTCAACACTTTCACCACACTCGCACATTATCACTGTTTTTGCAGAGGTGCTCAGAATACAACAGTCTAGAAGCATACACATATAAAGATACACAACATATCCCTCCAAACTGCCAATATCCCAAACCCCTCCTTTAAAGTGCAGGCATTGTACTTCCCATTTCCAGGACTCAAGTCCGACTATATGAAAATAACCGGTTTCACTGAATCCCTTCACTAAATATTACCCTGCTCACACTCCAACAGATCGTCAGGTCCCAAGTACCATTCGTCTCCATTCACTCCTATCTAACACGCTCACGCACGTTAGGTTCCAGGCTACCGCCGTAAAGTGGAACACCCTTTTTTTCCCCACTTACAAATGCATACAAACACTAGATAACAAGTTTACACTAACATATATTAAGTTAGCAATAGAACCAGGCATCAAAAAACAATAAAGAAGTACAATACACACAGTGCACTCATTACTTACCTTAAAATATTTATAGTCTTAATCTAGGGTGAGACAAGTAGTATTTATTGTAAGAAATCAAGTGTGGTATGTATGGTAGTCAGCCAGGCTACCATACCAGGCCAACCCACCTACACATAATATTCTATTACATTTAAGCATCCCAGAGCGATAAAATGTATATACAGTTCACTCTTACTTACCTTAAAATATAGGATGAGATGAGTAGTATTTATTGTAAAAAATCAAGTGTGGTATGTATGGTAGTCAGCCGGGCTACCATACCAGGCCAACCCCCTACACATAATTTTATTACATTTAAGCATCCCAGAGCGATAAAATGTATATACAGTTCACTCATTACTTACCTTAAAATATTTGTCGTCTTAATGTAGGGTCAGGAGTAAGTAAATGAGATTAAAACGAATAAATGAGAGAGAAAGAATGAGTGCATGAGAGAGGACAGGCGCAGAGTTATGTAAACAAACCAGGCGAAGGTAAGTTTTGTAAACGAAGTGTACACGTCTGGTTTGTGTACAAGTTACATTGTGTACAGGTTGTCTACATTGATACGGTAGAATAAATAAAGAACACTCCCATTCTCATGTAACATCATTTTGAGAAGAAATGATGCTCTGAGTGAAGGTAATGGAAATAAGTCACTGACTTTTTTGGGTTATCCTAGGTTCTCTACACATATGTTATGTATGATAATCTATGTAACTATTTGTGTATACCTGAATAAACTTACTTACATACATACGAAAGGAATAATTTTCTACAGTTACCCCCAGTAACACTTTCTCTTATGTTAGATTAGAGAAAATGTTATTCTTGGCATCACTTGTACAAGTTATCTGGCTACCACATCTCATATTTATGTTTATTTATTCTATTGTAGGGCGTATTATCTTTTTATGTTATGTATCGTGTTTATTGTATAATTTTGAAAAAAATATCATGGATGGATTAATGAAAATGTTTTATATTAACGTAATATACAACATTTAATGAGACTCGGTGATTATTAAATTTTTATTATTATCATTTCTAATATGGCGTCACTTGTGCAAGTCGTCTGCTACCACATCCATATTTATGTTTTTTATTTTTATTTTGGGGGTGTATTTATCATCTTTTTATGTTATGTATCGTGTTTTTTATATAATTTTGAAAAATATACATGGATTAATGAAAATTGTATTTAACGTAATATACGACATTTAAACGAGACTCGATGATTATTATTATCATTACTAATATGACGTCTGGAGACATAAGACACTTACTGATTTTAATGTGTACCTGCATGCCAGCACAGTATGTAAGTTTATTTAAGTACAGGTATACATAAGTATAATTATCAGAGTATATATAAAATATGAAATAACTTTTAAAAACATTTGAAATTTTGGAGTTTCCAGACAAAATGGAGAGACTTAGTGCTTACTGAGCTCATGAAGAATGTAAACAAACAAGGTGGGGCGCGGTGACCGTATTAGAAAGTCAGGTGGGGGAGCCGTATAGCAAGTTTTGGTCATAATTTGAAATGCTTGTATTAGCGGAATGCCGTAACGAGAAATGCCGTAAAACAGGGCCTTACAGCCGCCATAAATCACATGCAGTATGTGAATGGCATAGTTCACAAAGCACATTGAAGATTCTATTATACACCACTAAGAGTTTATGATATAATTCAACTTCGTACAGTTGCCAAAGGCACAGGAAACATCTAGAGCACAGACAAGGGACATCTGTAAATGGTATGGCTATGTCAACATGATATGGAAAAAGAATGTACAGCTCAGGACATTAAAACATTCTGCCACAAGTATTATTATTATAATCATACTAAGCACCCTGCTTTGGTGGGAAACGGCAGTGTTAAAAAAAAAAAAAAACTAATCACTAAACCCTTGTTGCAAGTAGCTTCTTCAGAAGCCACCTGCAGAGAAACCATTTCCTTAAATGTATTGCCTGAAATGTCTGCAAGTCTTTTTGAACATTAATACTCTTTCAGATTACTGCATTCCATGAAAAGCTAAGCTGCCTAATATTGGCCAGTAGGCTTACTGTAGCCTCAATCCTCCATCTGCCATTGTGTGCAACTAGAAACAAGTGACAGAATACTTTTAAAAAAACAGATAACCATTTCAGAAACACTAGTAGATGAATGCTTGAAGAAATAAGTTATTTTCAAAGACACAGAACTGCTAGAAGTTGGGATAAATTTTTTATTCCCTATTTTGAAAACCCCATAATTATTCACATCATTTCAGGCATTAAAGAAAAAATTATAGAAGACATGGAAAACTATACACACTACACTTAATGAAAAATAGTGGGGTAGAGAAATCTCAAGTTAACACAGTAAAACATTCGACAATTATTAATTACCAGTAAATACAGATCTAAAAGTGGACCTTAAAAAAAATCAGACTTCTACCTATAAAGACCTGAGACAATATAAAAACAATTTTATATTGTACTGCATACATCCTGGATTACTATAAGGCAAGAGTGTAAGAGATTCAGTTATATAAATCATTTAGCAGGTTACATGCAATACTGTACATATATATAATACTGCTTACTGACAAATATTCAAGCAATGCTTTAGAACAAGAATAACCATGTTCCACATAATGCACAAGATATTAAAGAATCTGCATCACTTGTCTGAACTGTAAATGCTACAACATTTTCTTGATGGAGACTATGTAATGCAGTGGAACCTCGGTTTTCGTATGCCCTAGTCTGTATGTAAACCTATATTTCTCTATAAAAATGAAATTGTTAATATTTTTGGGTGTCTGGAATGGATTAATTGGAATTACATTTAATATGGAAAATATTAACAAAAAATACACTTTATAGAGAAAAACTATAGTTTTACATACACTAGGGCATACAAAAACTGAGGTTCCACTGTACAATGTCTACTGAAATTTTTAAAAGTTCTCTAAAATTAAGGAACCATATACAAAATAGACAAATATGCATAAACAATTTTAAATGCAATACAAAATAAATGCAAGTTTTAAAGTAAAACTTGCAAAATTAAAATTATGTTTTTGGTCCCAGTCCTGAGATTTTTATTTGTACTCTCTGCAATCTACTGGATAAATGCAGATGTAATGCATACATTAATATCTAAAGGCACTTTTAAGTTTGTAACAATGCCCATAATTAGAGGCAGAATGTGTGTGTACTTTGGGTATTTAAAAATAATTTGAGCACAAACTTCAAAAAATCTCAATCTCATCTAGAATCTCTTGAAAACCTATCTATAAAATGTGTGTGTCCCAGGCCTAAAACTTTTACACAGTCTTGGAGACTACTTGCAGTCCAGTTCCAAAACTTGTTGGTAAAGGGCTTCTACGGCAACAGCAAGGCCTGTAGCTATGTCTGATGCTGATAAATTTTCTTCGATGGGTGGAACGTGAATGAAAGCCGATCTTAATCTGTCTTGATGCAGGGACAAGTAATATACATACTCACAAATAAACCTGCAACAAAGAATTTGCAATAAATGTATAAGCTTATATTCAGTTTGTCACCTTACATATTTTGTAAAATATTTAAAAACCTTAAGGACTGAAGCCACTTATCCTAACTAATTTAAGAGATAATATAATCAATGCGGAATCAAATTTCATCTTAAAACATGTGTTCTGATACTTGCTGTACATCCTTGGACATTATTTTACTTTTCATTGCAACCCACAGGTTTTTATTTCATTTTTTAACTTTTTATGCTGAAGTGTACACAGTAGACCTATATTGGCAATCGGCTCCTTTTGATTACTAGATGATGTGTTCAAGACATGATCATATTTGAGTGGCCTCCAATAAATTACCTCTCACATTACAGGTCCTCCATCACAAATCTGGCATCACTGGGACCTCTAGTGTGTCGGATTGCTGAGTTTGCCGGATCACAGAGTGGTTAGGTTAAAATACACTTAATAAAATTAACCAACTTGACTAATACATTGGCAAAAATCAAACATTTCTGCTACTTTGAACTTATTTCAAAGTACTTTTCATCATGAAACCAGTGAAAAATTATATCTATTTCTGTAATATATCTTCCATTCTATCAAAACGAGAATACAACCATAAAAGCCATATGAAAATATACCGCAAAGAGGCGGCTAATGGCTAAGAAGAGAACTCCCTTATTTATCGTCCATTTTTTTATTTTATTATTTCTGGTGTACGTTAAGAAGCATCTTTCCATCGTACATTGCCCAAGTTTCAATAAGATAGCCCAACAAACAACCGAGAGAAAAAACAATATAATAATTTTATTTACTACACGTACACGTACGTGGTACACAGGCCTAGCTGACATCAGTGACATACTACTATATAGAAAGCCCCTTAAGTTTATTCAGGTATACATAAATACAGTTACGTAGCTTATACATAGCAGCATGTATGTCAGGTACCTAGGGTAACCAAAAAAAAGTCAGACAGTGACTTATTTCCACTGGGGTCCCTTTGTCCCTTGTTATGCTAAGCATTTCAAGCAAATTAAGTCAATGTCCCAGGATAACACCCACACCAGTCCACTAACACCCAGGTACCCATTTACTGATGGGTGAACAGACAACAGGTGTAAAGAAACAAACCTAATGTTTCTACCCTGGCTGGGAATCGAATATTTACCAAAAATCATATATGGCTAGTCCAAGCTAGGTACTAGAAATAAGCCACTGACTTATTGGGTTATCCTAGGTTCTTTACACATGCTGCTGTGTGTGATACTCTATGAAGAGAAAATAGCTTTTCTGTTTCAGTTTTATGGTGCAGTACGAGTGTACATCATAGTTAGCCCTGTACTATACTCTGTTTTCTCTAGTATAAGCAGCAAGACAGGGATAGAAGAATGGCACTTTTATCCCATATATTCTTCATACCTCCGTCGAACTACTCAGTATTGTGCGAATTAATTTTGGAGTATTTAACATGTTTTTATGTTATTTATATTATTTATTATGTGATATTAGATCAATTGTGATAGGCAAATAAGCTGTAGTGTTGATATTAGCATAATAAAGCATATTCCGCCTCGTCACAGACCGGGCACGGGGGCATTGACCCCCGGAACTCTCTCCAGGCATCATGAGACTGGGCTCATGGCAACCGACAGTGGCTTCAAAGTCACCTTATTTTTAACCCTTTGACTGTTGCAACCCCAAATCTTGAGGCGTCTCCTGGTGTCAAAAATTAAAAAAAAAAAAAATTATATACATATATATACATATATTTTTTTTTTTTTTCAACAAGTCGGTCGTCTCCCACCGAGGCAGGGTGACCCAAAAAAGAAAGAAAATCCCCAAAAAGAAAATACTTTCATCATCATTCAACACTTTCACCACACTCGCACATTATCACTGCTTTTGCAGAGGTGCTCAGAATACAACAGCTTAGAAGCATATATGTATAAAGATGCACAACATATCCCAAACCTCTCCTTTAAAGTGCAGGCATTGTACTTCCCATTTCCAGGACTCAAGTCCGACTATATGAAAATGACCGGTTTCCCTGAATCCCTTCACTAAATATTACCCTGCTCACACTCCAACAGATCGTCAGGTCCCAAGTATCATTCGCCTCCATTCACTCCTATCTAACACGCTCATGCACGCTTGCTGGAAGTCCAAGCCCCTAGCCCACAAAACCTCCTTTTCCCCCTCTTTCCAACCCTTTCGAGGACGACCCCTACCCCTCTTTCCTTCCCCTATAGATTTATATGCTTTCCATGTCATTCCACTTTGATCCATTCTCTCTAAATGACCAAACCACCTCAACAACCCCTCTTCTGCCCTCTGACTAATGCTTTTATTAACTCCACACCTTCTCCTAGTTTCCACACTCCGAATTTTCTGCATAATATTTACACCACACATTGCCCTTAGACAGGACATCTCCACTGCCTCCAACCATCTCCTTGCTGCTGCATTTACCACCCAAGCTTCACATCCATATAAGTGTTGGTACTACTATACTTTCATACATTCCCTTCTTTGCCTCCATACATAACGTTTGACTCCACATATACCTCAACGCACCACTCGCCTTTTTTCCCTCATCAATTCTATGATTAATCTCATCCTTCATAAATCCATCCGCCGACACGTCAACTCCCAAGTATCTGAAAACATTCACTTCTTCCATACTCCTCCTCCCCAATTTGATATCCAATTTTTCTTTATCTAAATCATTTGATACCCTCATCACCTTACTCTTTTCTATGTTCACTTTCAACTTTCTACCTTTACACACATTCTCAAACAATTGAGGATATTAAAGTGATCTCTCCAAAAGTCTCTTAGAGTCAGTTGAGTTTCTGAGGTCACTACAAAGCACCTTTCAAACAGAGCTTTTGTGTACAGTTTTTTGAAGTTTGCAATAACCTGCTGGTCCATGGGCTGCAGGAGAGGAGTGGTATTAGGAGGCAAAAACTTCACCTTAATGAAACTCATGTCCCCATAAAGTCGCTCTGCCACGTCTGTAGGATGACCAGGGGCATTGTCTAACACCAGGAGGCACTTAAGGTCTAATTTCTTTTCAGTTAGGTAATCTTTCACATTGGTTACACCAAGCATTTGCCCCCAGTCATAGAAGAAGTCCCTAGTGAACCATGCCTTACTGTTTGCCCTCCACAGCACACACAAATTAGCCTTGAGGATATTCTTTTGCCTGAACACTCTGGGAGTTTGAGTGATACACTAATAAAGGCTTCACTTTGCAATCACCACTAGCATTGGAACACATCAACAGAGTAAGCCTGTCTTTCATAGGCTTATGTCCTGGGAGTGCCTTTTCCTCCTGAGTAATGTAGGTCCTGCTTGGCATTTTCTTCCAGAACAGGCCTGTTTCATCACAATTAAACACTTGTTCAGGTTTCAGTCCTTCAGTGTCTATGTACTCCTTGAATTCCTGCACATATTTTTCAGCTGCTTTGTGGTCCGAACTGGCAGCCTCACCATGCCTTATCACACTATGTATGCCACTACGCTTCTTAAATCTCTCAAACCAACCTTTGCTGGCCTTAAATTCACTCACATCACTAGTTGCAGGCATTTTTTTAATTAAATCCTCATGCAACTTCCTAGCCTTTTCACTTATGATCACTTGAGAGATGCTATCTCCTGCTATCTGTTTTTCATTTATCCATACCAATAAGTCTCTCAACATCTTCCATCACTTGCGATCTCTGTTTCGAAAACACAGTTGAACCTTTGGCAAGAACAGCTTCCTTGATTGCCGTTTTGTTGGACACAACAGTAGCGATGGTTGATTGGGGTTTATTATACAACCTGGCCAGCTCGGAGACACGCACTCCACTTTCATACTTAGCAATGATCTCTTTCTTCATCTCTATAGTAATTCTCACCCTTATTCCTGTAGGGTTGGCACTAGAAGCTTTCTTGGGGCCCATGGTCACTTATTTTGCAGATAAAATCACCAAAACACTAATAATACAAAATGTTCCGATTGTATGCTTGGATGTTACCGTGGAGGCTGGCTGGTAAACAATGCCACCGGCGGAACATGCGAGGCTGGCTCAGGCCGCACATTAGACACGTCTCGGACGAATAGCGTTGAGCGGGTTTTTTAGCGGTATGCGAGGCAAAATCTTAGCGATAAAATGTATCGGTATGCGGATTTAACATTATGTGATGCCAACGGTATGCGGGGGTCCACTGTACTGGAAAATGACATCATTTGTTTACTTTTGAACTTCGGCACAAATCAAACATTTCCCCTACTTTGAGCTCCATTTCAAGGTCCTTTTCATAGTAAAACCAATCAAAATCACCTCTATTTCTATAATATGTTTCCCATTCTATCAAATGAGACCAAGAAAACAAGAATACAACCATAAATACTATACGAAAATACACCACAAATTCGGCGTTTTAATCCAAACACACTGTCTTGAGTTTTTTTTTTTTCATTATGCACTGCGTGCTGCAGGATTTTTTTTTTATATGGTGCACACTGACCACACAGACCCATTCTCTCACATGTGGGCCTACCAGCTTTCTCCTGATTTATTTTGAACGTATCACTTATCAAACTCTTCAAAAATCTAACTTTTTTCGAACCAACTTCATCCCTACTATCGAACTCGCCCCTATTTTTGAACTGCCAGGTACTGGACCTGTTCAGCAGCCGACTCTGTCCGCGTCCCCGCACAGGCGCCGTGAGTCAGTCTAGTTTTGTTCATGCTTGAGTGAACACTAGCCTGCGCTCTCATTCAAACATTTCACAATTATTTCATTGTGTTTAGTGCTTGTGGGACTGTGAAATAAGCTACCATGGGCCCAAAGAAACTTGCTAGTGGTACCCCTGTGGTAAAGTAAGTGAGAAACACCATAGTCTCCCCATTTTCTTTTACCCCTGGCACCCCAAATTTACCTACTACTCCCTCTACACTTTAGTATTGAGATCCCCAACCACAAATACGCTCACTTTGTTCAAAATTCCCCATGCACTCAATCAACATTTCCCATAATCTTTCTCAATTACACTTCTCTCTTCTCCAGGTGCATAAACACTTACTGTAACCTACTTTTTACATCCAACCCTTATTTTACTCCACAATCCTTGAATTTGTACATTTATATTCCTTTTCCTGCCACAGCTTATCCTTCAACATCATTGCTACTCCTTCCTTAGCTCTATTAGAAACCCCTGACCTAATCCCATTTATTTCTTCCCACTGAAACTCTTACCCCCTTCAGCTTAGTTTCACTTAGAGCCAGGACATCCAGCTTTTCATTCATAACATCCACAATCATCTCTTTCTTATCACTCGCACTACATCCATGCACATTCAAACATCCCACTTTGACTTTCTTTTTAGTAGGCTATACATGTATAGGAAAAGCAGTTACTAGCCCAGTGCTCCCGGCATTTTGGTTGACTTTTACAACATGCATGGCTTACGGAAGTAAGATCCTTATTCCACTCCCCATGGATATGAAAGGAAAAGTAACAAGAACAAGAACTATTAAGGTAAAAATCAAAACTCAGATGAGTGTATCTACATAAACATGTACATGCATGTGTAGTGTGACCTAAGTGTAAGTAGAAGTAGCAAGATGTACCTGAAATCTCGCACGTTTATGAGACAAAAAAAAAAAGAAACCAGCAATCAATCAAGTAAAACAATTACAGGCTTTCGTTTTACACTCGCCTGGCAGGATGGTAGCACCTCCCTGGGTGGTTGCTCTCTATCAATCTACTACCTACTGATACTGTATATTAATTACCAAATCCTCCCCTCTCCCCCCCCCCCCCCCCATGCTTTTTTAACACCAGTAGTCTCCCACCGAGATGGGATTACCCAAAAAAGAAAATGCTTTCATAAAAGTTGTGACTTTTTACATTAAGTAATTTATACAGCAAAAGAGGTTACTAGCTCCTTTTTCCTGGCATTTTTGTCACCTCTTAAGACATGCACAACACACATGGCTTACTGAGGATGGATTCTTCTCCACTTCCCCATGAAGATTATTTTAACATAAATTAACAAAATTTATCTAATTTATAACATACAATAACAGCAATAACTCCAATAAGGCATAGAGGCAAGAATGATTTGATGACATAAGAAAATGGGGAACCACCAAATTAAATACATTTTACACTTTAAACAATGTGACTTGGAGCTCACCTGCCAGCATTAGTGGATCTATCAGACTTAAGGGTGCCATTTTCATTTATGGCCTGGGATGCCATCTTCATGCAGATTCCAGATTCAATCACCTCCTCACCACCTAGAAATGTACAGTCAGTAAAAAACAAACAGTGAAATAAAGATTAAACTTAATATTAAAGTAAAACTAATTGATTGTGTAATCATCCTTGAGAGTGAGATTGTAATTTTTTAAAATTCTTTAGTGATCACTGGCTATTTGGAGTATAGGTACAGCACATATAAGTTTACTCATACACATACAAGCATATGCAAAACAAACTGAAAAAAATTTTTAAAATTCCAAGTGCTTTCAAGATTTCTCACACTATCAAGGAACTATAACAGAAAAGCAGAAGGCTACATAAGGCCGAGATAACACCTCACAGGTGTTGTGGGATAGGTGTGACATCAGACGTGACCGAGGTGTTACCACAGCCTTATACAGTGGACCCCCGGTTTGAGATATTAATCCGTTCCTGAGAGCTCATTGTAAACCAAATTTATCGGAAAGCGAATCAATTTTCCCCATAAGAAATAATGGAAATCAAATTAATCTGTGCAAGACACCTAAAAAGTATGAAAAAAAAAATTTTTACCACATGAAATATTAAGTTTAATGCACACAAACTGAAGACCTGCACAGTTTGTAGTACTCTACTAACAATAGAGTACATAACACTTACCTTTAATGAAGATCTGGTGATGATTGATGGGATGGGAGGAGGGGAGAGTGTCAAAATTGTTAATGTTTAGAATGGGAATCCCCTTCCATTAGGACTTTTTGGTCCGACATGGCAGCCTCACCATGCCTAATCACACTATGTATGCCACTACGATTCTTAAATCTTTCAAACCAACCTTTGCTGGCCTTAAATTCACTCACATCAGCACTAGTTGCAACTTCCTAGCCTTTTCACAAATGATCGCTTGAGAGATGCTATCTCCTATCTGTTTTTCATTTATCCACACCAATAACAGTCTCAACATCTTCTAACACTTGCGGTCGCTGTTTCGTAATCACAGTTGCACCTTTTGCAACAACAGCTTCCTTGATTGCCGTTTTCCTGGCCACTACAGTAGCGATGGTTGATTGGGGTTTTGTATACAACCTGGCCAGCTTCGACACACGCACTCCACTTTCGTACTTACAAATTATCTTTTTCTTCATTTCAATAGTCATTAGCATCCTTTTTCTCGAAGGGTTGGCACTAGAAGCTTCCTTGGGGCCCATGGTGACTTATTTTGCAAAAAGAAGCACCAAAAACACCGATATGGAATGTACTGAATGTATCCTTAGATGCGAGCACACTGGCTGGCTTGTAAACACTGGCACACACGGGGCAGTTCAGGCCACACGTGGACACGTCTGACGAATTGTGTGTACCGGGTTTTTTAACGGGAACCGAGGCAAAATTTTTGCGTTAAAATGTATTGAATACCGGATTTATCGGATACCGATGCCATCGCAAACCGGGGGTCCACTGTATAGCCTTCTGTTGAGAAATTGCTTTACCAGCTAAGCTTATACAGCTTGTAAAGGGAAAACTTAGCTCATCGCCTGCACAGCCGCCCCTGCAGACGAGGTCTTGAGAAGCTGTCGAAGTCATTCCTCAACGGGCTGAAACGAGTTATAATTTGTAAACAATAAATTACCCCTAGGGGGTGTTATGTCAGCATATTTCATTCACTGATGGCTGACAAACTTACTTGTGTGTACTCAAAAGTCCGCACCTAACTGCCGACTATAGGTTGATTACAAACTCCTTGCGACTCAAGAACTGCGCAGTCCCCCGTACTACATGAAATTCGTAACCTACCTTGCTCTCGTAGCGTGAGCTATGGTGTTCTTCACACCTTCGACAGATATCTGTGACTTGACAGAAGCTGAAGTGTCCTTGGATGTCCACGTCTTCCATAGTCTAGGAATACGCACACTGGTACACTATGTTCCACAAGATTTGTCTTTATTGTTCACAATCTTATCACTAAAGAAGCTGATCACACTTCTCAAGTGTTTGTGTTTTATGAGACACTTTGTTCACACTAATGCACAGACCGTTCTTTGTTGGTTATCCTGGCGTCAGTGTCACTCTCAGTAGAGTCAAAAGTAATCTGAAGACGCCACAGCACCCCACGCAGTTACTGCCCCTTGCACAAAGGAAAAGCTGACATACTTTTGCTTCCTTGCCACTTCCTCGATGAAGCAAAGCAGAATGTTTGATTCTTGCTGTCTTAAGCATAGACAACAATGTCCACTTTCTTTACTATGGTAATAAAGTGGGAGCAGGATTTACCTTAATTGTCCTGCCAAGGTAAGAGATGTACTGTCTCTTATTAAAATACACTGCAATACTGGACTGCAAGGAGCGGCGGTCGCTTGACCATGTTGCATACTCTTACTGCATCTGCGATCAATTACTCGCTGAAGCAGTAAGCAAGATATTTGCCCCTTCTGAGAGGGCTGGGCCCCTCAGGGCTGAAAAGGGCTGAAGGGGGCTGATACCCCCCTCCTGGAGAAAATTTCTCCACACCTTCTGCCATTCTATTATAGTTCCTTGATAGTGTTAGAAACCATGAAAGTACTGTGTATATGCTTGCACACAAGAATATACAGAGAAAAGTTGGCAGATGTAAGATGAAAGAGCACTGCCCTATACTCAAATCAACTTCAAGACACCATACTAATGTTTAGTCTCTTGAGGAAAGCGGCACTTTCAGAAGTAACAATGTACTATACAATTAAAATGTTTTTTTGAAAATTTAACACTGTATTTCAATGAAAAGCTGGGAAAGGCATGAAAAATTATATCCATGTTTTATAACTGATTAAGATAAATGATTCTTATTAATCAGTTATGTAAAATACCTAGCTTGTAGTAAAACAAGTTTAAATATAAACACATTACATACTACTATTAAGTGCATTACCCTTGTACAAGTAATAGTGGTACAAGTAGATGTACTAGTAGTGGTGATACAAGTACAGTGAAACCCCGGGTTTCGGCCGCCCTGGGAATCGGCTGCTTCAGGTTTCGCCTGCTTTCTCAGCCAAATTTTGTCCCATGTTTCGGCCATTGCCCAGGGTTTTGGCTGGCATACCAGACCTGTCCGCCTGCCCGTGCTTCCGCGCCTCCCTACGCAGGCGTCGTCAGCCAGTCAAGCATTATCCTCAAGTGAACATTACACTGCACTCTCGTCCTGCCAACCATCCAGCCAGGCATCCAGCCAGCAATGTTTACTTAAGTTGTAATTTATGTATTGTATAATAGATATGTATTTATCTGTGGTGTATGTAAAACTACAGTTATTATTTAAAAAATGTGTTTTCTGTGAATATTTTTGTGGGTTTGGAATGAATTAATTTTATTTACATTAGTTCTTATGGGAAATATTGGTTTGCCTTTCGGCTATTTCGTGTTTAGGCCTAGCTCCTGGAACGGATTACAGCCAAAACCTGGGGATTTACTGTAGTTGTAGTAGTGGTGGTATAAGTAGTATAGTAGTAGTACAAGTGGTGGCAGTAATAACAGTAGTAATAGTAATAATAGTAGTACGTAATATAGGTAATAGTAATAAAGGAGGGCTTTAATTTATGGCATTTTGCTAATACAGCAGTTTTCAATTACAGTGGTACCTCAACTTACAAGTGCCCCAAACTACGAGTTTCCCCGAGTTACGAGTCATCGCTTGGTCGATTTTTTTGCTTCGAACTGCGAGCGAAATTCAGTTACTAGTGAAAAAAAATATTTACTGAAAATATTTGGCAAGAACCCCAGCCTAAATGGCCCAACGAAAGGTGGTTTTGGGACTAGGTACTTGTAAAACAATGCTAGTGATGTTCTCACTGGAGGTAATCGTGTAATTCTCTTTTTCTTCTTTCAACAAACCGGCCGCATCCCACTGAAGCAGGGTAGCTCTAAAACAAAAACAAAAGCTTCTCTTTTTTAACTTTAGTAATGTATACAGAAGGGGTTATTAGCCCCGTGCTCCAGGCATTTTAGTCGCCTCTTACAACACGCATGGCTTATGGAAGAAAAAGCCTGTTCCACTTCCCCATGGAGAAATCATGTAATTATCTTTAGTTATTCTACAAAAAAATATAGTTGCTAAGTTTTTGACATTTGCAAAATATCTTGCCCTTTACTCTCACACAAATACCAAAAATTTGAAATATTTTTAATATTCCACAAGCCAATTGTAGAATAATCGTTTTTTATTCCTGTCAATACTATTGCATTTACTTCAATAATAAGTGGTGGGCTTCACGAAGTAAGTCAATAACTTACTTCTGAGATATTCATATATCAATGCACTAGCGATCTAGTGCAGGTAGCCTCCCAAAAACTCCGTTTTCTCTTACCCAAGACCAAAGATGGTCCTGGTCCTGGACACTCGCCATAATATGGTCTATTTTATTCATGCTAGACTATGTATCATGTTTCTATATAAATAAGCCATCAATTAATTACAATGAAGAAAATTGATTTCATTCAGTTTCATGTGGTATAGGGTAACATTAAAGGCACTGTGTGCCCCTCTGGTTGCTCGGCAGGTATCACTGATAGTCCAGTTCAGTCCAGATGCTCTGCAGCATATCTGGAGTTATCATGCGAACTGCTTCAGTGATCGAAATTTCCAGCTCCAGGGTTGCGGGTAGTGGTGGTATGTAAACTGTGCTCTTCAAGTACCCCCAGAGAAAGAAGTCAAACAGTTAGGTCTGGTGATCTCGCGGGCCACTTGCACAGGTCACTGGACCTAACTGTTTGTGACTATCTTTGGGGGTATGTGAAGAGCGCAATTTACATACCACCCCTACCTGCAACCCTGGAGGAGCTGAAAATTTCAATCACTGAAGCAGTTCACATTATAACTCCAGATATGCTGCAGAGCGTCTGGACTGAACTGGACTATCACAGTGATGCCTGCCTAGCAACCAGAGGGGCGCACATAGTGCCTTTAATGCTACCCTATACAGGTCTGCCATCACAAATCCGGCAATCAGTTATTCGGCACTAATTTTGGCTAGCATAATTTCAAATTTCCAGGGTCGCCACACCAACCTGCTGGTACTGTTTGGTG